TAAATAATTATTTTTAATAAAAAGCGACGGACGACGTCTCTATATATATTAAATAAATTATTATTAATTATATATATATTTAGCGCAAAAATCCGTAAAAAAAGCGATGGACTAAGATATACAGTCCGTCGCTTTTTGTAAAATAATTTTAAAAATAATTATTTTAATTAAAAAGCGACGGACGGCATCTCTTAGTCCGTCGCTTTTTTGGAGCGACATTGTCCGTCGCTTTTTCTTCCGTCGTTTTTTAGCAGTTTTTTAGTAGTGATCGTTCCACGTAGGAGAATAGTAACAAAACATGATTTTTGTGTGTGCTAAAATAAAGTCTTAAACAACAAAATATTTAATGTATGAGAATAGCATAAATCATGGTTTGCATAATTACGATAGGAAAAAGACAGGAAATAAGACTTATTGAAGCAATTAATAAAATTAAAGTAGATGGGACTCTTTCTTGTGAACACATATAGTTAATTTGCGATAAATAATTACTCAATTATCGCTCCTATCACTATACCTTCGAAGAAATTTAAATAATTCATTGTTTTAAACAAAATTGTTTATCTTTGAATATAATGGATGAAAAACACTAAATACAAATATTTCTATGAATGGTAGTGCGTCAATTTTCTTTGGAGCTCCTCTCCAATTAGTTCTTACTTGGAAGGAAGATGCATATATCATGGTTAAACATAAATGATTGAGATTTAATTAATTAAAGTAAACTTCTAATCATGGTTAGGATTAGAGGCTTATCCAGGAGGGGGACACCGGGTTCACGTGAACTCATGCTTCCCTCCCTAGATCATATATAGTAGTGTTCTATTTTTTTTTTAAAATATTTAAATATAGATGTGTGAACCCACACTCGAAGTATCATATAATGTTGTGCGATGATGATTCGGAGCACCTGTCTAAGTGAGGTTATAAATATGAATCTTTTATCTATCTTGTTTTATTTTCCTTCCTGAAATTGGGTAACACCTCTGTAAGTGGTTCGTATAGATAGAAAATAATTTTGGACCTATAATTTTAAAATTTAATGATTTCCAGTTATAAGAACCTAAATGTCAAACCGATCAAAATTTATATCTTTTCGTAATAGTGCATCCATCATTTCATCAAAATCTTGAATAGGCGGAAGAGTATATTTTCCTAAAAGGTGGGTATTTTATGTTTCTCAAAAATGCCCTTACGTACATCATGTGGTGGTCTATAAATTGGAGATAGACTAACAACTATAGAAAGCAAAATACACACACAAGACAGTCAAATTAAAAATGAAATCCATTAATATTTTGATGTTCCTCTTGGTTTCAAGTACGCTCTGTTTGGTTTCCTTTTGTCAATCTTTCACATGGGACAATAATCCAATTGTCCTGCCAACAACTACTCATGATGATAATCTTGTACTCCCTGCCGTACTTGATCAAGACGGCGATCCAGTCAAGATTGGCAAGGAGTACATTATTGAGACTCCCATCATCGAAGGTGGATCTGTATACTTGGATAATATTGGAGGTCATAAATGCCCAAACGATGTGTTGCTGCATATTCCGTATCTCGGTTTAACGGGAGATGGGACACCCGTAAAGTTCATTCTTAATGATGATGATTTGGTACTGCGTGAAATGTATGCCATACATATCATGTTCTCGGTTAGAACATCAAGTACATCGTGTGTTAACCAAACTGTTTGGAAAGTTGGTGATGAAAAGGACTTCCTCGTAACTGGTGGTACCGTAGGAAATGAAAATACCTTCTTTAAGATGATGAAAATTGAGATGGAATTACCAGATTTGAAAAATGTATATAAGTTACTGTATTGTCCCCCTCAACTTGTGTGTAAAGATGTCAACGGGGGCTTTGATAATGGATATCCCCGTCTGCAGGCTCTCGAAGACGACCCTTTTCCGTTTGTCTTCGTAAAGGCAAAGGATGCTTAGTTCATTTAATTTCCGCTATATATCTTTGCTTTCTAAATAAAGTGCTCCAAGTAAGTTCAATTAATTAAGTAATGCATGCTTATCAAAATATAACCCTACCTACCTTACCTTTTTGTACGTGGTTAACTTTTTAATGTGTAGAATTAATAAGCATAATTAAAAATTACGATTTGTCACCACGCGCGTTAAATGCTTTTAAGTCAAAGTAAGACAAACCTATTTTTTGTTTTTAACTTTCTTAAAGTCATTTAAAACTTATTTTAAGTTATTTTTAATTTTGTCAAACACTTCTATAAGTTAAAAATGACAAAAAGTAGATTTGACCAACATTTAAGTCAATCCAAAATGACTCTATGTATCATTGCCAATTTTCTCACAGCATGCTTGGATTAGATGGCCATAAGTTAGAAATCTGACTTTTTTTTTTATTCTAGCATAAACTTACATATTTATAAGTACTTTTAAATAAAATATTTAACGTAAGAGCACTACTAAAAAACTGCTAAAAAACGACGGATAGTGTCACTCCAAAAAAGCGACAGACTAAGAGATGTCGTCCGTCGCTTTTTAATTAAAATAATTATTTTACAAAAGCGACGGACTGCATCTCTTAGTCCGTCGCTTTTTTACGGATTTTTGCGCTAAATATATATATAATTAATAATAATTTATTTAATATATATGGAGACGTCGTCCGTCGCTTTTTATTAAAAATAATTATTTATAAATTAAAAAATAACCACGCAGTCCGTCGTTTTAATTTACTTTATTTTATTAATTAGTTTTTAAAAAAAACGACGGACGGCATCTCTTAGTCCGTCGCTTTTTGGTCAAAATATCTAGTCAAACATTTTTAAAAAGCGACAGACAACATCTCTTAGTCCGTCGCTTTTTAATTAAAATATTTTTATTTTAATTTTTTAAAAAGCGACGAACGGCATTGCTTAGTCCGTCATTTTTTTTCGCGGATTTTTGCTAATTAATTATTTTATATAGATAGCGAGCAGTTTGTCACTTTTTTTTAAAAAATAATTATTTATTAATTTAAAAAAAGTCACGCCGTCCGTCGCTTTTTTATTAATTTTAATTGTTTAATTATTTTTTAAATTAGCGACGGACAACATCTTTATGTCCGTTGCTTCTTGGTCAAAAATATCTGGTCAAATATTTTAAGAAAGTGACGGACAATGTCTCTTAGTCTGTCGCTTTTTGGTCAAAATGTTGGTCAAACATTTTTTTTTAAAAAGCGACGGACATAGAGACGTTGTACGTCGCTTTTTTAAAAATATTTGCACTAGCAGATGCGATTTTCCCCATTTCTCCATATAAAAAACAAAATTGAGAAATATTTTGATTTAATTTTATTTAAATCGTCTTCCGGAGAATGGTTTTGTGTAAAATAAAAAACAAAAAAATTATAATACCGACTTCCAGATGTTGGTAAAATTAAATAGTATGTAATAAATTAATATTTTTAATTAACTTTAAATAAATCGACCTCCGAATGACGATTTTATATAAGTTAAAAAATAATTTAATATAAACTATCGACCTCCCGATGTCAATATTATTTAATTAACATGATTACTTTTATTAATCTTAAATTTAATGTGATACCGACCTCATGAAGTCGGTATTTTATTATATCTAATTACTTTTAATAAAAGCGACATCCAGAGGTCGGTATGTTTAAAATATTCCTATTAATCATAAATTTTGCTATTGTGCATAATATTAAATTTTCATTTTACACCTACGATTAATTGTTCAAAAAGTGTAACAATTTTGTATACTTTTACAAATGAAATTTTAGAATTCGTGAAATTAAAAAAAAAATATCTATAATCCATATTTAGAGTATGAAACTACATTGATATGAATTAGGAGATAATTATACTTATATTTATAGAGTAATGTACAAATCATATCAGTCAGTCGTCTAATCATGAACTTAATATCTCATGTCATGATGTAGTAGAGGTGAAGAGCTAACATATAATCCATTCCAGTATGAAATGCGAGATAGTATTATTATATACATTCGATCTTGAATGGATGTCAAGTGTAGTGATCACCTCCTAATTATGATCACATGTAAAGGGTACTTCATCGGAGTATGAAATACGTTGATTAATTATATATATATTCCTCGAGTAGTTTAACAAATCAAGTCTTATATACTAGTGGTTCAGATATGAAATACATTATCAATTAAAGAAATACCGATGACCAATTAATTCAAGGAGATTTATATATTAAATTTGATATTGATAAACTTTTGTTGATCAATAAAATTAAATTTATATAATTAGAAGGTATATAATTTAAATTTATAAAATTAACTTGATCGATAAATTAAATTTATTAAAATAAACTTTTGTTGATGTGTAGTTAAATTATATATATATATATATATTTAAATTATATACCTTCTAATTATATATATGGCCAAACACATATACAACCCGTCTAACTTGTCCGCATTTTTCATTTAGCTTTGTTCCATTTTAACCCTTGAACTCCATTTTTTATGTTCCATTTTAACACGAAATACTATTTTTATGATTTATTTATTTTTATATATATTCTTCAATTGCAACTTCTTATTTTAAATCGACATGTGTCAGTTAATTTTAGTTTAAAAATTAAAAATTAACAAAAAATAATTCTTTTTAAAAAATAATAATTTCTTTTTAAGAATGTTATGTATTTTTGTGTGAAAAATAACCGACGAAATTGTGTTGGTTTTCTTTCTTTAAAATCACTGACAACCTAACAAAGTCAGTTGAGTTTTATCATTGTTTAGTAGTGTTATTAGCAATGAACAAGAGTCTTTTTTAAGTAGTGTTATTAACTAAGTCAGTTGAGTCATTTTGAAGATGAATTTTTTTATTCGTATTGATTTATATTAAAAATTAAAAGTGAGTATTTTCGTTAAATTTAGATAGCCTAGATGATAAGAAAAAAATAAATAAGTAGTGTTATTTAATTTAATTGAATGTTTAAGAAAGAAAATCAAAAGAACTTTTGTCAATTTATTTTCATGCAAAAATACAGAGAAATATAAAAAATAATATTATTGTTTGAAATTTTTTATGTTCATTCGCGAATGTTTAATTTTTTTAATTAACAGGCACACGACTATTTTTTAAAAATAAGAAATTGCAATTGAAGAACATAAATAAAAACAAATAATAAAAATTATATATTTTAGTATGCATGATTTATAAAAATATTATTATTTTTAAATTATTATATCGGAACAAGGCTAAGTTGAAGTGCCAAAATGAAAAATGAGGCAAGTTTGAGGGTTGTATATGTATTTGGCCTATATATATATATATATATGCATGTATGTATGTATGTATGTATGTATGTATGTATGTATTTAATTAATAAAATCAACCTCAAAAGGTGAGTTTATATTAAAATAAATTAATAAATACCGACCTAAAGAGGTCGGTATATTTAAATAATTATTTTATTTAGATAATATCGACTTCACGATGTCGGTATGTTGACGTAATATCGACTTCACGATGTTGGTATGTTGACACCCAATTTGGTTAAATACGTGTTTTTTTAAAAATATTCCGAGTTCAAAATTTTAATCAATTTTGTCTAAAAATTATATATTTTAGTTTGCATGCTTTATAAAATTATCGTAAATATTTTTAAAATTATAAGTAAAACTCGGAATAATTATTTTATTCAAATGTTTTAAAATTTAAGTGATTTTTATTATATAAAATGTTATAATATTTGTAGTATTTTAATTGAATAACATTTCTTTAATTTTTCTCGAAATCATTTAATTTTTAGCCCATTCTAATCTAATTCCTTTCAATTTTAGCCTTTCCCTTATTCAATTCATTGCAATTCTAGCCACCTCAATCCAATTTCGTTTTTCAATTATAGCCTCTTATATCAATTTTAGTTGCAATTTTAGCCATTCATTCATTGCAATTATAACCCATTTGTCCAAATCTTGAAACATTAGTTTAAATCTTAACCGTCCATCCTTTAAGTGAATCCTAGATCAAATCCTAGCCGCTCATCTTAACTAATCCAATGGCTCAAGTTAAATCTAGTAACCTTCCTATTTTTGACATAAAAAA